GGACTGCTGTAGCCCAGTCCACGAGCGCAATAGCTCTTTTAGAAGATTAGTGTTTTACCAAAAAAAACTAAACTTAATGTAAAAAAAAAAAAAAAAAAAAAAAAAAAAAAAAAAAAAAAAAACGATTGCTAAGTACAAACCAGAGAAGTATGTATATGTATATGTATATCTGCATACACATGTGGGTATGCATATGTGTATACATGCCGGGCTGAAGTAATCACTAAAAACAAATTGATTGATGAATACAAAGGAAATTATGTAAAAGAAAAAGAAAGATGGGTGATCGTTATGTCTGTCTGTTATGTCCTAGGACGAATTATTGGATCAGATAGAAGTCAGAGAATTCATTCCCGGCCCTAACGAACGATTCAGCCCGGTTAGTGCCGGAGAAACCAGCCGTAGTCCTCCAAGGAAGAGGACACATGGAGAAGCCAACCCACAGGGGGTCGAAATCAACACAGAAACGGTCGTACTGAGTATGCCTGGCTTAATCCCGGGAGAAAAAGAGGAGTGCGGACTAGGAAAAGGGGTTGTATGCCTTAATTGTTTGATCGCTAATAGAGATCGTGCACACGTACCTAATGGTATGACCTATATAGGAAAATTGAAGGGTTTTAACTTTGATATATCAGTAGAAATCAGATCAAGGGGACCGCCTCAAAGCTTTAAAAGTCATACAGTCATAGCCTATGAAGAAGACGTCATAGGCATTACCACCCAGCTGTCCTGTCGTCGGGGGACCAGCAAAAATTAACGAAAATCTGTTTTTAACAATAATAATAATAATTAAAAAAAAAAAAAAAAAAAAAAAATTTTAATAATAATAAATAAAAATAAAATAAAATAAGGATTTCTTTTTTTTTGTATATATATATGCATATATATGTGTGTATGTGCATATATATATAGATAAAACAATAAAAGTAATACCCTTTTTCTTTTTTCCTTTTTGGGGGGTTTTACAATGAAAAATGAATTGGACCTTGGGATAGGTGATCAGTGGGAAGACACATTCACGGTCGTGCCAAATCAAAATCTAGATGACCAAAATGTACAATCATTGGGGGAGATGTTACAAGGCTTTGCATTATCAGAAACGGGAGGAGATCAGAGCATGGACTCTGACTTGTGCGAGCCCATGGTGCCGTACAAGTATCGATTGAGTGGTAGGACCTTAGGAGAGATCCATCAGACGCGTCCATGGCCTATTTTTTTCGATAGAAAATTAAGACCAATTTTGAATAGATCAATGAGCGGAAATCATATTCTCAAAAGGGTGTGTTTTGTGCGATGGGGAGTACGCCTGGGCAAACTAGTAATTCCAGAAGAGAATCTAGACAAAGACATGCCTAACGCCTATAGAGAAAAACGATCAACCTTAGCCTTTTCTGGCATCACTCCTCCAGGAATGTCCAGAGTGCTCTGTGGTTCTATAGTTTGGAACCCTAGAAGAGGAGGGACGTCTACTCTTCTAAAATTTTGTGATGAACATTCCGGGAGGATATTTTACACAGGAAACAAACGGGCCGTTTCCACTCTCATGATGGACTTCTCTGGGGGTCATAGCACTCAATGAAAAAGTTTTGACTTTTGTTTTTATGATGATTTTTGTTTCTGCTTGCTAAATGTAGAAAACTCATATACTCAACTTAGATGGCAGTTTAGCACTTATTATATTTGTGGTTTGATGCTAAAATTTGTATTTTGTTTTGTTTTTCTTTGAGATGTATCGTGTGCAGCAGCAGGCGCCTCAGCCAAATGGGAGAGGGGACGAAGGGCCCAGAGGTCAACAGAGAAGGGCACGCCTACATCGGCCGCAGTCGAGGTATCCCGGCATGCGTGTAGTTTGTAGAGAATTTGGCTTGCCTTACTTGGCACCCACGCGCCCATATTGGACACCGGGAGCGGCTTGGATGGGGTGTTTCACTACTACTTTGCCGAAATACAGTGAAGTACCAAGAAATTTGTGGCTTCCAAGCTCTCCTTGGGAACTATATGTTACTGGGGGGAAACAATTCGTTAAAATTCAGTCGGAGAGGTGCATTGTCAGGAGCAAGGGTGGTGATGCACTGATTGGTTATTCTCAAATTGGGGGAACTTGGTGGCAGTGTCCCGCAATGCACCCTGATTTAACTGGGACAATATTCCAACACCCGGCAGTTCAAAATCCAACGACTGATGTTTATAACGAAATCTGGTTGTACAAAGCCTGTAAATGGAGGTATTATGGAGGGTTCGGTGAGCCTGATTACTGTACTTCGGCACATCCAGATTATAACGGTATTATTTGGAGCAATGCTCAAACCATGCAAGAAAATTCTCCCGAACTGCTTAGCATGCTGCGGATGAGCAGTTATAACTCGATTGCGGCCTATCATGGCAAATTTGGTTCAGGAAACAGATGTTACATGTTAAATGAATGCATAGTTCAATATACGTGTACACAGTTAGTAAAAGTTACCAATGAGACAATGGCTCAGATTGCCTCCCAGTGCTATAACGGTTGGGCAGCCTACTTCTGTCCAGAAATCTTCTATCCTAGAACAATGGACCCGAAGCTGTTGGCACCTGCGAGGATGGAGGAGAGGCCCGAGCCAGCTGCACGCGGCATCCAGGACGTCTCGCCCAGTCACATCGTCCTGGGTTAACCGCCAAAACCTTCACAGGGGGATGTCGTGAACCCCCCCCTCGGCCATAAGAGAGATCGCTCGGGTGGGGTAAAAGAATGAAGGTTTTGGCGTAAGCCCTACCTAAACGGGCTCCTGAGTTCAGATGAAGACGTTCATAATGCTTTACTTTGCTAATTGAATAACCATTAGAATATTAGAGATTAAGAGTGTTTTGATTTAGATACTAGAAGTGTTTTTGACCTATATTATCTTGAGTTACTTGTTTTGCTTTGATTTGATCTGATTTGTTTTGATTTGCTTGTTTCTTTCAATTTAATTTTTAAGTTTAGGTTGTTTTGCAATAATTTCTGTAACCATTATCTTTGTGTGCAGGAAAAAGCAGGGACTTTCTGTCCTTTTTTACGGTTGACCCTTGTTTGACACTGCAGTGTGAAACCCATTGTCTGCCTTAAAAGCGAGGGGACCTATGCGGTGCGGTCGGAGAGCTTCCTGTTCTCTTAACGAAAAGCGAGGCGACCTTTGTTTCACACCTGGCCGGGGCAGAGGCGTAGGGGGTTAGGATGGAGAAGACAGTGGTTTCTAAGAAAAGTGTTGTCTGTGCATGGAAAAAGATGTGTGCTATCTGTGACGTACTAATCATTTTGCCTGTACCTGGGTGGAGTTCTGTGACCTAAGTATAAATACTGAAAATTCCGCATATTAATTTAGATCCTGATTTTTGGTTGGCATTGGCCCTCCGGCTGTAAGTGGCTAAGGAGGTCAAGATCTCAAATTCGGACTGGGCTGTGTTTAATAGCTCTCCTGGTCACAGGGTAATTTCTCCAAAAAGGTACTTGCAAGGTGATTTGTCTCAATTATTCTTGTGTGAGCTTTCTGTTAAACATATAATAAAAAAACTGATTAAATACGACAAAGACAAATCACTTGTTGGAATCTTTTGTTGAGTCTTTCCCTTAATCATTATATAAATACAATTATTATATAAACTATATATATACATATTCACTGCGAGCGAGTCAAGTCATCCTGGGTGAGTTACATACAAAAAGATGCAATGTTTTTGATGCAAAGCTAAATTTGGTTAAAGGTTTTGAGGCACTGCTAAGGATAAATTAATATTTGCAATGTTTTGGTATAAAACTAATTCTGGTTAAATCCTTTGAGGCACTGTCAAGAATGTGTTTTGGGCAAAAGTTGTCAGATAGAGTGTAGAGCATTTCATACAGTAGTTTCTAAAGCTAAGTGAAGTTGTAAGTGTTCCTCAAGTGGTACTTTAAGAGTTGTTAAAGTTACTATGTATGGTGTTTCCTAAGGTTAAGTATCCTTTTTGAGAGTAGTAAAATATTTTGCTTTGTGTCATTGATGAAATGATAATCTTTGAGTGTAGTAAATGATATTTTTGAACATGCATTGTGTTTTAAAGCTATGTAACCTTTTTGAGAGTAGTTAAACTTGTTTGCATTGTGGTTTTAAAGCTGAGTGATTTTTCTGAGGGTTAATATAGTGATAAAAGCAGGAGTGGGATCCAGGTGGTGTAATTCAGCCTCTGGGACTTTTAACAGACGCTTTGGTGTGAACGGCCCTTAAGACAGTAAAAAAAAAAATAAAAAAGCATGCTCCCCGAGGTCAAACGCGCCCCCCTTGACGGACCCACATAGCAAAAAATATCCGCGGCGGATACGCGGCGGATCCGCCAGGAGATTCGCGGCGGAACCGCAGAACGGATCCGCATCGGAGTTCACTTGCACATCGCCGCGGATCAGCAACGGATCCGCCGGGCGGATACGCAGCGGATCAGTCGCGCCTCCGCCGCGGATCCGTCAAAATAAGCCCGGATCCGCGCGGATCCGCCCAGGACCCGTTTTGGATCCGCTTTCAGAACCGGGTTATCTGCCGCGGATCTGTTTATTGTGTCGTTAGGAGCCTAAATATGCTTCAGATTTAATACTGATCCACTTCCTACTGACCTAAATACACCAGCAGCATTTGCATTGTAATTGTACATAAAACTTTTACAGCAAGTATTAAAACTAGGATATAAAGGCTTAAATTTAAAAACATAAACTTAAACAATTTCAAAGTTGGATCAGTGATATCCTATCACTAAATCTCATTAGTTAAGAAAAAAAGAAACTTTTTTTTTTTTTTTTACATTGTAAACAATATTTATTTAAATCATTAATTAGAAATCTTAGGACATGAATAATCATTATTAATGTTATAGGACTTATATACCCTTTGAGTTAACCAATGCTTCATTCTTAATATGAAAATGACAATTTACAGTTTTTACTAAAAATAATTCAAGTTAAGCAAAGTTTTTGTTTTTTTTTAAATGGCAAAAAAACAAATATTAGCTATATGAGTAAAAGCCTGGACAGATGAGACAGAGTGTAGCCATACCATACTGTTCAAACTCAAACTTAACTTGTGTTTACCACCACAGAACAATTAGACGGGTGGTTGTTCTTATAGAGTGTGCAGTGTGGGAGCTTCAGAGCCACTGTCTTTAGCTTCAGTCTGAGGCAGATGTTTTGAGGCAGAGGTGCAGTGAGTCTGGCTCCTCTTCAATCCTACTGGTGAAGATCCAGTCTGTCAGTGTCCAGCTCTGGGCTTCCCCTTTCTCACAGCATCTGAAATGACACCAGTGTGTATTAAACACCCCATTACACCTCTTATTCTTGTAAGGAGTTAGAGTTCAGGTTTGTGAAGAACATTGTAAGTCATGACAGTGGCTGTGTGATTTGAACATGAAAGGTAAACACTTGATTGGAGAAATCTATGCACTTACAGAGGGTCAGTCTTTAAACTCCACCACAGCAGGTTCTGAAAGAAACAATATGCACAACAACAGTGATTATAATGTACGCATGTTTAGTTATGAAAGTTAATAAAAGTAGGATAATACAGTAAACTTACAGAGGGTCTGTCTCTACATTTTTGGAACTTGGCCCAGCAGAGGGAATTCTGTAAAAGATCAAATAAGAGAAACACAAAATATCAGTTTGGATCATTTCAG